TAGTAACTTATGTGCAGAATGTAGTAACTTATGTACAGAATGTAGTAACTTATGTGCAGAATGTAGTAACTTATGTACAGAATGTAGTAACTTATGTACAGAATGTAGTAACTTATGTGCAGGATGTAGTAACTTATGTGCAGAATGTAGTAACTTATGTACATAATGTAGTAACTTATGTACAGAATGTAGTAACCTATGTGCAGGATGTAGTAACTTATGTGGAGAATGTAGTAACTTATGTACTGAATTAATTGTCCACGATGCACACGTTATTTCTTTGCCCACTTGCTAGAATAATAGCAGTGTTATAAACCGATACAATAGGTTGTGTATCAGGTTGTATGGTTTCCAAATGTGTTTACATTAATGGGAAATTGTACATTTATCTGATTAATTCACATGTTTTCAACATAGGAAAGTCGTGTCCAAAACTGCGAGCGCCCTCACACGGTAAGATATCTCCGACAGTTTGTGACAATGTATTCAACGCTGTGTGTGAGTTCAGTTGCGATGATGGTTACGAATTAATAACCGACCAATCAAAATCAAGGCGTTGTCTTACTACCGGCGAATGGTCTTCCAGTCAAGCAGTTTGTCAGAGTGAGTTAGAATTTTTAATTTCACTCCAACATTTTTTTTTTCAATTTGTTAAAAATCTTATAAGTCGCACCTTTTTTTGTCGTCAATATGACGTCACTTGTGAAAATAATGTTTAGTTTTGTAGCCCTTCGTCACAAATCATGTCGCGACTTATTGCAAAGGCGTATACATTTTTTCTCCATTTAATCCTGTGTTCATTGTAAATTGTATTGTATATGTAATGCTATTTACTAGTCATAGTAAAATTAACTAAAATAATTGCCGAGATAACCTTGGATTAAATCATGTATTTAGTATTTTATTTTTTTATTTTTTTTTCAAGAACGGCAATGTCAAAGTCTACCCCGTCCCACGAATGGTGATAAGCAATGTAAAAACGGTAACGATAATGAATTTGGAACTGTGTGCACGTTTTCATGTAACCCTGGTTACGTACTGTCAGGTTCAATACATCGTAAATGTACTGAAAATGGGCAATGGTCTGGAACAGACACTTCCTGTCAAGGTAGGCATATGTCAATATTGTTTTTGACATGTAAGTTGCTTATAGAACGATATGTACTAGTATAGTAAACCTGGTAAAAATCTGATATTATTGAAACACTGTGTGTATCTGGTAATTTAGATAATCCTCGGGGGCGGAGCTACGTCACGGACATTCTACGATGCTAAAACGCGCACCACTGTACCACGTCTTTCTATGGGCTTTGTGCGCGCTGCCGGTGGAGCAGGTGAAAACTCGAGAAAACAACACAAACTCAACTTTGACTTCAACTCAATCCTGAACAACCAAATTTATATATGTTACACACGTAGGGCTAATCTTGTTACACTGTTCAGGGGAGTCCAACAAACATCCCAAAGTACCGTTTTCTGCGAGTTTTTGGTCTTTGTTTTCACCGCGAGGGTTGCCAGGCGGTAGAAATTGCCCGGATGTCCGCCCCCGAGGATATAACATTCATGGAGATTTGTTCTGATATTTCAAAGTATGAATATACTTCTCTGAAAACACAAATACAAATTATGAACAACTTATT